GAAAAAAATTTGCACTGTCAGTATTTTTATTTATTTTTAAATATTCTGACAATAAATATATTTTTACAACTCTCTTTACGTCGTACTAAATATACGCTCTCTTACAGGCGCTTGTTATTTGCTGCACTATTTTGACTGGCTGTTGCTGCTGCTGCTGYTGTTGTTGTTGCTGCAACTTCTGTTGTGGCAAATTCAAGCCACCGGCGAACGAGTCACACGATCAGTATGCACATTTGAATGTAAGTACCGAAAACTAAATTTACTCTGTAAAATTGTATATTTTTATGTTAGTGCTTCCTTTACGCATTCATTACACTTATATATACTTTGCTCTAATACGGCTGGTGTTTTGTGAAAAAGTGTGTTAGAAATGAAAGGAAATTAAAGAAAAAAACTAAATTTATGTGTACACCAAAAAAGTGCTAAAAAAATGACGAAAAGTGTTAGTAATTACTCCAGACACAAAGGCTTTTCTCTCACTCGCTCGTAATGCAGAACTCTCCCATTTTTGGCGTGTCGCCACTAACGCACAAGACGCTCATAAAACCAACTTTTGCACGTTTTGTTCTTGTACCGGTTAAATTCATAACGCATCTGCATGCCACGTGCATATACTAACCTCAATTTTTATTAGCTATTTCATATACATTTCATACCTATACTGTGTATTTTTTTGTGATTACAAATGTGCCAAGAGACTTTGGTTACAGTATAATTGCAGCTTAACAGGCACAATATTCTAGTGCTTGATATAAATTGTTGTCTTCCCCTCCAACTTCATTTCTTCACCGCTTTTGCTGATACCAATTGCTGATAGTTTCGCCGCAACCATGTGCACACCTAAACTTTTGATGATTTTTGTGGTGCTTCTGCGCTCTTCACCACCTCTTTCACCCCATTGAATTGTAATTACTTTTACTTACTTTAAAAAGTTAATGGAAATTAATTTCATACAATTTTCATCATTTGCTGATTTTGTTTTGAAGATTACTCTATGAGTTTGCATGCACTTTTATAAAAATAAAAAACAAAAAATGTAGTTGAGTAGCTGTTTCGCAAGCAATTGTTACACTAAACCACACTTCAACTTGCGTGTTTGTACGCCTTATATCCCACCACACTAGAAGCCTTAGGGGCAAGGCCTTAAAATACCGCTGCAGCAGGTAAGTACGATCCGAATTCATGTGTTATTTTTTTTTTTTTTTGGGTTTAATTTTTGAACTTTCACTCGGTAGTGTAAATATATAAATGAATGTTTTGCGTTCACTGGTAGGCTGTAGGTTTTTCAGCGCTGTCTGGGTGCTGTCGCCACGTTTTGAAGGTAATCAGAATTCTATGATTATTTGAAATACAATTTCTGAGTTTGAGTTAGAATTTTTCGTTTTTTGCTTCTTTGTTTGCATATAGTAAAAAGAATTCGGAATGAATATAAACGATGTAAAATTGATTGAAAAAAATAAACTCACATAGTTTGAGTTTTTTTGTAAGGTTTTTTTTTAATTTTTCATCACTTGTAGTTTACTTTTGGTTAATTAATGGAGCCATGTAAGCTTTATGGCGCCTAAAACTATACTACAATATTTTATTTAAGGAAATTTTCTGGAAATATTTAATTATTATATTGTACTTACATTAACATATG